CACTGAGCACGCTGGTGAGAGTCCAGGAATTAGAAGCAGCAGCAACTGATCCAAAAGTATTTGTTTGAGGCCGTGCCGACAAAACCTTATATTTTTAGAATTGCACAGTCTAACTAAATGTAGGATTTTATCTTTAAAGAGAATCAGTTAGTTTAGGGCAAGAAAAATTTCTTGATTTAAATGATGCCACCTTGGCAGGTTTCATGGGCAATTTCATGCCCTTTGCCCAGGCGCTGGCTTGTGGTGTTTGGCACGGTCTATGGATTGGTCAGTGTGAGCATCTGGCCAATTGCTACAAAAACCTTTACATACCACAGCCAACTGTCACCTCCAACATACCTATATCAGAGTAAAAGAGAAGAAGTCAAGGGAACCAAAAATCAACTATATGCAAATTATACCAGTTTTCATGAAAAATACTACTGTTTCTAATAGTGAAAGATTCCCTTTACCTGGCTAGGCTCCTACCTGGGGGGGGGGGGGGGGGAAAGGATGGAGGGAACAAGGAAGGAAAAAAACAATTCAAGCATTATTAAGTTGCTTCTATTCTGATAGTATTTCTTTTAATAATTTTGCCTATGTCTTGAAATAACTGCGGATAATCTGGGGTCTCTCCCAACATGACTGGGAGACACTGAGCTAAAAGGACGTTTTAATACTGATGCTGCATGAGGAGAATTTCAAGTCTATGGTTACAAGGAATTTCTACTTTTATTCATTCCCTCAGTAAACACCTATTGCGTGCTAGTACATAAGGATTCAAGGGGTTTTGGTGAGGGCTGGGGACGGATATTGGTAAAGAACGCCTATCATTCTCCCATCTAGTGGGGGAGATCCACGCAAATAAATGGTGCCCACACAGAATATAGCCAGAGGAAGCGCCGAGGAGGAGCTTGGCAGAGTTGGGAGGCGCTGCACGTGCTGGCAGGCCCAGAGGAGGTAGACCAGTCAGTGTGCCCCTATGTGCCCACACCTAACATGTCCTTCCTAACGAAGCCTGACAGGAACCCACAACATGATGCAATGAAACTCAGTAAGGATTCAGAATCATCTCATTATGCTGCATGTGAGCCAACAGAATTCATGTCTATGTCATTGTAATTTCTGCTTTGTGTTTCACACAAACCCTTATAGGAAATACAGAAGCCAAAACAATTTTCTTTTAGGAAATTATTTTAGTCTCTTTTACATTCTATAAGAGAAAATCAAAGTGCCTAAAATAAGATTCAAGGGTAAGAGGATGATTACAAGACACACTGAAAATGGTAAATGACTATTATTTTTAAAACAGGGTGGTCCTACACATCATTTTAGCCAATTTTTAAAACCGTGGGAATTACAAGGGAAATCAAATCCATATACTCATTGATATCCATTACTCATCAATTTAAATGAATAACTGAATGCTTAAAAAAATCTTTTTTTCTTAGAGAGAGATACCATTTAATGGCCAGAATCTAACGCACATAGACCTTTAAGTTTAACCTGATATGTTTGAACCCTCAGGGTCTAAAGAACCCAGAGGGGTGGAGATACGTTCTTGGGCATCCCAGAACATAACTTGGTTTTACCCTGGAATAACACGAGCTAATCTGCTCCCACTCTGCCCAACAACGTAATCAAGATCACCTCTACCCACCTAGTAGCTTCACCACATCTAATATTTTATTGTTGGCTTCCTGGCCTAATTATGATGGAAATTCTGCAGGGCTATCAGTTTTCAGAAAGAAACGATTAAAAAGTTTCACTTACTGGGAGGACAGAGCTAAGAATGATAATGGTCTAACCCAGGGCTCTGCCTTTGGTAGAACGTGGCCTAACTGCTGTGTGTGTGTGTGTGTACGTTCATGCATGTGCATGTGTGTGTCTGTGTGTGTGCATGTGCATGACAAATGGATAGAAAAACCAGAAATTTCAGTAAGTTAAAAAAGGACAAAAAAGCCCAAGTGTCACACAGCCAGACCCAACAGGAATTGGCTAGATGTCCTGTTTTTCAGGAGCAATGTGGCTACAAAAACATTTGAAAAAATAAACAAGCAAAACCAGAAAAAACAAACAAACAAAATTCCCAATTCCTCCAATGAGAACAACACAACACCGTGATGTGATAAAGAAAACAATTCCTCACAGTCCTCAAAGTCTTAGGCACTTAATTCAGTGAGGTTTTTAATACAGGCCGATCTCATGACTGAGAAAAGGACAATAGTCACCCTGTTTATTGTTATCTCAATCTGCAGAGCTAAGTGGCACTGCCCAGGCAGTCCCACCAGGGTCTTCATCAGGCTCCAACTAAAGAGCAGAGTTCAGTCTTTAAAGGAAACCTACCCTGGGCAGCAGGGACATTTAGGAATGAGGCCAGGAAGGACCTAGCCCTTCCATTAAGGGAGAGGGCTTTACAGAAGGCCTCCTCACAGCTCATGCTGCAAGAGTGCCTCTGGTGTTCTTGGACCTGGGCTCCTGGTTTCCACATGAGCACCTAGCAAAACAGTCAGGCATGTTATTCTCTACTTTTCCCTTCCTTCTAACTTCCACTGGTCAAGGGGACTGTCGGGGGCTTCCCAGCTGAGCCTTAGCTCCTTGGTAGGCATTATCCAGAGAAATCACTACTATCAGCTACGCAGTCTTGCCTTTCACTCAGCCAAATGCTAGAATCTCAAAAGACTCATTTGCAAAAGATGGCTCCTCTTGAGTATGCAATGCTTAGAATTATGATTACTAGGCAGTTGAAAAGTGTTCTAATAGTCGAGTTTCCAAAGAATACACAGAGAATGAAACACATTAGTAACTAGGAAGAGAGGTAGTAATTCATGCCTGCCATTCTGTACCCACACGCTGAAATGAAAGCCTGACAGCACGGCCCACCGACAGCCTTCTGGGTATGTCTGCACCTTCTGTTATACCTGCCCCTTAGCTATGGGCTATGGCGCGAGACGACTCAACACGCTCAAACTTGAACTCCTTATCTAATCCCAACCTGCTCTTCCTGCTTTTTATTGGTAAAGGGTGACCATCCATCTATCAATAGTTGCCCTCACACTCCTTTCTCTTTCACTGTCATTATTCAATTGGTCACCAAGTCCTAATTTGCCACTTGCTTATCTGTCCCCTACTCTCCATTACTACTTCTGTCTTAGTTCAGGACCTCTACCTCTCTTGCCCAGATATTAAAATATCTGTTAACCAGTCTCCTTGCCTCCAGGTTAGTCCCTCATGAATCTCTCTTCTACTGTGCTTCCTTAACTAGCTTCTAAAATATAAGTCTTGCAAACAATGAAATCATAAACATATTTCAAAGAAAACATAGGTGAATGCTTTTATAATCCTGGAGTGGGGAAAAGCATTTCTAAACATGACATAAAATCTAAAAAGGCATAAATATAGTTACTTTAAAAAATCTCCTGCAAAATAAAATAACGACATAATCAAAGGAAAAAAAAAAACATCTCAAGTCCATCTTTTTTGGCCGCACCAGGAGAGGATAAGCTAATGCAAATAATTATAAAGCGTGATGAAGGCACAAAGCGCCCTGTAAACACTAGGTATTGAAAAATGTCACCGTTAGCAAAACTGCTTCAAATTATCTGCCTAGATTCAATCATACCGCATGTCAACACCGAGATACCTATGAGCAGCTGAAAAATGCCTCTGGACTCTCTTATTTATGCCTTTGGAACACAGCGGAGCGTGTTTGCACAGAACAAATGATTGCCTGTAAAGCTGGAAGGGCCTTTTTGCCTTAATTATTGATGCTTTAGCTTTGAGCCAGAAGGTTAATGTCTTCAGGAACATTTCTGAACTCACACAACACCGAACCCTATTACTCCATCAGCACAGCCTGGGCTAGGAGGCTAGAACAAATGCCTATCAGCTGAAACTAATCAGCTTTCCTAGTTTGACCTGAACTAAGAGACAAAATAACATCCCCTGACAAGAAGGCAGATCATCAGCAGTAACACTGCTGACATAACTGCCACGAAGATACTTACTCTACCTAGGCATATGATCATCCAAAATCCTAAATGCAAATAGTACAGATGACTCACGCATCAAACAAAAGCTCAGATGAGATGGTAAATCTACTGCGCCCATAAGAAGAGATAAGTTCTGTTAGGAAAGTAAATAATTTAAGATGCTGATATAGCCTTTTAAGTGAATCTGGCGCACAGGCCAATTCACCTACTGAAAGACTACACAGGATCCAAGGCAAGAGCCCTAGACAGCGCTAATGTCCACTCGCCAAAACAGAATTTAAACCATGAAACTGAGACTAATAACTGGAGTGCAATCATGAGTAAATTTGGGGGAAACAAAGGAGCTTCACCCAGGTCAAACAGTATTGGAAATTAAAATTTTAAGCAATTATTTCCCAGCCCTGAAAAGATAAGGCTGTACTGAGGGACCCAAGCATCAGAATACCACCAATATACAATGAATGGCCAGTATCTGGCTTTTTGTTGTTCAAATTATCTTTTAATTTGTGAGCAGTTAACTCACCATGTTGTTGAGAATTATGATATAGAAATGAATTCAATTTTTTAAACAGCTTTTAAAAAAGACAGTTGGATTTTTACATTTATGACTTGCACAACGAATTTTCAGAAATTCAAACCTTGGCCAATGGTTCCTCAAAACCCATTTGATTCTATCATTTGCCTTTGGTGAAATTAATACAATATTCTCACAATAAATCTAGAGTCACAGGAAGCCACTCTTCATTTTATTCCTGGCTGAAATGGGCTTTTGGAAACAAACATCATGTACGGAGATATGTGATCTTTTAGGTGACCCAGGTCAGAAGGTCAAAATAAACATTACTGAAAGAATACGGATCAACTTTGGCTTTGTCTCTGGCAGACCTAGGAGGCCTAATAGCTTATATGGTAAATTAAAAACCAAAAAGCACACAGTACAAAGCCTACTTAAAATGAACACGATTCTTTTCCTAGGCCCCCAGTTTTTAAAAATACCAGCTCTGGGACGGATGAACATGGGAGACTCACTCTGGGAAGCATAAAGGCCCTCCACAGCTCTGTCGTCGTGCCCGTCGTACTCCCTGCTGGACAGCTGCCTGTTGGCAGTCTCCAGTCGATCTGTGCACAAAGAGGAAAAGATTACGAAGAAATGCATATGGATGTAAGTCATCATCAAGCGAGAAAGGACCTGGGAGCCAAGAGGAGGGTAAAGGGATATTTAGGCAGGAGCCCAAAACTGAACAACTTTTGGGGAAGAACAATACCTTCCAAAATATCACAAGAAAAGTCCTCAGATGCCACACTGTGCCTTTATGCAAGCGAATGCCAAGGCATGTACCAGCAGGAGGCAGCTAAGAACAGGTTCTGAGAAAAACACACTTTGCTGCCTGAGAGCTCAGCAAACCTCTGATCTGAAGTCCCAGCAAAGGGTTTGAGTGTCTTTGGCCTCAGACCCAGTCCTAGCCTAACCATCGTCATCAGCCCTCTGTTTTAGCCAGGGACTGCTATCTGTATCTTGGGATCCAAAAAATTAAAAACTATAATTAAATTTTTAAAAAAAGGTCAAAATGACCTAATCGATGAAGATTTTATAATAGTTCTATGTTTGCTTAAACCACTTGATAAATCTTCATTTATCTGATTAGCTAATTCAGCTTAACAAGTCTTTATAAAAGCATATGAAAGTACAAGACAAAAGGGTTGGCAGTAACAGAAAAGGTAGGATCTAATTACTGGAGACTACCAGTACATTGAGTATGTTGACCTATGAGGCTGACTGAAAGTGCAGTTAAATTTTGTGGGTTAAATCATTCTGCATGTTGGAAGTTGCCAGGACCCTGCAGGAGGTGGCTCCTAGTTTTCAGGGAATCTATCTAGTCTTTTCACAACTGTGGGCCTTTATGTTTCCCCAAGAAGGAAGTATGTCTAGCTTTGTCTTCTATACTATACCTAGCAAGCGATAAGTGTTGGCTTTCAAAGAATGCTACCAAATGACTTGGCTTGATGTGGGAAGGGCTGTGCACCTAACACCGGTCTTTTCAAACATTCTCATTCACAGAGTCACGAGTCACACTGTTAAGTACTTTTAAAACGAAAGGGAGCTACACACATACGCCCTCGCTTCTCACAGAGGTTGTCACTTCTCAGGCTCAGTGCAGGAAAGAACAAGCCTGCTCCTTGAGCACCCTTTCCCCAGGTGGTTGGAATTTATAAGGTTATCTAACACCATGCGGACCTGATGTCAGGCAGTTAGCTACACGGGCAGTCTGGGGTAGAGAGAGCATGCATGGAACCTGACATGCCTCGGAGGTCTCTGTTGAAATCATGAAGTCTTCGAATCTCGCCCTCCAGTTTGTTTCTCATAGCCTTGTCCAGGGACTCTCGCTTGGTGGTAGACTTGACCAGACTCTCGTAGGCTTCTGAAATTCTCTGAAGTTCTTTTTCAAACTAAAAGAAAGAAATGGTATGAAAGTGGCCCTCTGACATTTATATTGGCACCTTAGTGACACTGACTCCTTGACATTCTAAGTGTGAAGGTTATATTTTCAATGCAGCCTTTTCTGCACCTTAAGTTTCATGTCTACCAAATCGTGTAATCAGTCCCCCCTACCTCCACCCCTCTCCTACGTCCCTCCATCTGCCATCTGTATGGAATTTTATAACTAGTATTATTATTCCTGGTTAACATAAGGGAAAATATTCAAGTGCAAAAACACTAAAGGACCATAACTAGAACCCCTATCTCCAGACTTCAAGCACAGTGCACTTCCAGAGACCTTACTACCCACCCCCAAAAGAACAAACACCCACTCGAGGAGATGCTTCTTTACGCATTCATACCCTCTTTTCTACAAAATTATCTCTATAAAGGACTAATGGACTTGTATATAATTGTAAACAAATGTACCACAGAAAACCTCTTTATATGAAGGAATTAAAAGATGTGGGACTAAAACCATTTTTTGTTTTTGGGTTTTTTTCTATTTTACTAAATCAAGAGCACTAACTGGGATAGCCTTTAATCTGTGGCATATATAAACCTATAACAAGTAGCTATAATCATAACAGGAGTCTAACATAATAGTGTATTTTTGAAGTAGGTATCAAAGTAGATAAATCCCACTTTATTGCTGTGTAACATAAAGGCAGGATAAAGGATAAAGAGTGTCTGCAAACATAGAAACCTGATGAACTGGGGCTAGAAGTTGGAATCAGAGGCAAAGTGGGCAAACTTGAGAACACTCGCGCCCCTCGCTGGGCACCAAGAGACCTGAACCATGTTTTAGATCTCCACCAAAACAGAACTATGTCACCGTGGGCCAGGAATCCCAATTGCCTGATCGCCCATTGTCCAGATCAGAAAGTTCCTGCTGAGACTCCTACAAATAAAACATACCCTAACAGGTATCTATTGTACACTTACTATTTGTCTGGGTGCCAAGGATACAGAAATTGGTCTAGAGTTGGCCTATATCCAGGCGCATACACTTCTATGATGCAATGTGAAAAAGGGTGTGGTATTATAGTGCTATTGACAGCCTAAAGATAAAGTAATTTTGCAGAGGCAAGAAGGAGCTTCCTTAACAAAGGTTTCACAGAAAATGCCATTTAAAATGAAGGATGGACAGGGACTTGCCAGGCAGAAAAGAAAACGCCAAACGGCCTTGGCATCCTAGGTAGAAGGTAGGGTATGAGCCAAGACAAAGCCATGAAAGCAAGTGTGTGTCTCTGACACGACAGGTAGCTCAGGGGATGAGAGCAAGGGCAAGTGGCAGGAGTTATGAATAAAAGGAAGGACTTTAAAAGTGAGGGAGAATTATGGGGGTGGGAGGGCCAGGGAGGACATACCACCATGTTAGCAGAAGGGCAGCATGATCTTACCTGAGGTTTTATAAAGATCAAACTAAAGGGTGGGGTTGGAGGGTGGGAGAGGGAAGACAAGGCAGGAGAAAAAAAAGTCCAGGTAAGAAGCTAATGGAAACAGTTCAATAACACATGACAACAGTGTCACTAGGACAACTGAAAGGACAAATTCCAAAGACACCGAAAAGTAGAATCAATAGGTCATAGTGACTGGTCTGGACAGTAAGGGAGAAAGAAATAAAAGAACATAGGCACTCATAGCTTAAAAGATGGAGTAATAAGGCTTAACCAAGATCCATGATTATCAAGAGAAATAGGTTTGCCCAAGAAAGGAAACCAGTTTGGTTTCGGAGATACTGTGGTCTGAGGAGCAAGGATTTCCAGTTAGCAGGTGGAGATACAGGTCTGATACAGGTGGAGATACACGTGAGGGGAGCAGCTGTGTCACTGAATACAGATGACAGGTGAAGTCATACATGGAGACCACTTAGGGAGATCAACAGGAGATTAGAGGGCCTAGGATGGGAGCATCAACACTGTGGGAGTCGGTGGGGCAGAAAAGCCAATGGGAGAAACTGAAGCCAGTGATGCCATAAGCCAGGAAGCCAAAAACTTAAAGGAGAGAGAATGTGGTCAGTGCCTCCAGAGGCTACCATGGAGCCAAGACACATGTGAGAAGAGGTCAATGAAAAGTCTGGAGAGCATCAGGGCTTCTGCTTAGTGGCAGCCAACCAGGGCAGAGCCGAGAACACCAAGGCTCCTGTCACTACCATGTTATTTTCTCCAAGCCCTCCTAACACCGGAGTTGGTTCTCCCATGGTCCCCTCATTTCAACAAGGCCTTTCTGTTCCTTGAAAAGAGATTATGAACTGTCAGTAATGAGGCAGTTTCAGAACAGCATGTCCAGGAACCTGTTCATACTTCTACCATCAGTTACATTCCTTCCTTTTAATTTTGTTTTCAAAGAGATGGCTCCAAAGCATACCACCATTTCTAGGCTAATTTCACCTAGAATAGGTGGCCTTTGTTTTCGGACGGGTGGGCATGCCACAAGGACAGTCCCTGCAAGACCATAGGACATCACCTGGTGGCTAGAAAGCTGAGAGGACCCTACAGCCTGAGATGCCCACCATCCGCCGTGAGAGAGAGCTTCAAGCCCAGGACGACTCGGAAGCCTTCCTCAACTGAGAAACTATGCCTGAGCTTGGACTCTCTCCTTTCATGAAAAGACCTTTCCTCTGCACACTATAAAAGAAAACTGCAGGATCCCTCTGACAGCGGAGTTTTACAATCTCAAACACTAAAACAATTAAGAATCGGGATGTGGTTATGTGCTGATAGCTACTAAGAGAGAAAGGACACAAGTCTTAGTTCAGAATGAGGTATTCCCTGTGAGAAATGACAGCTGTTACGATGGAGACAGATTAGTCTCCTTCAGTGGACAGAATGTTGACTAAATGTAGGACGTTAAAGAGATCAGATTTTGATTCAACATACGAATTTGCTAACTACATTTTCCAGGAGTGCATTATGCCCAGTCATGATGCTTCTTTTCTCTGGAAGCATCCAAGTAACAAAGGAATGACCTATATTCAGGGACATGAAGCTAGAATTCCTAAGGGGTGAGAAATTGGACTAGAATCATTTTAAGGATTTTAGGTCTAAAGCTCTATGATTTCTGATTGCACACTCCTGCCGAATGAGAACCACAGCCTCTTCTTATGCCCCATGTCCAAAGCATCTTAGATCCTTTCTTACTTTTGTTAAAGATGAAGAGAAGGTTGGACAGGCTGGCTTTGATATGAAAACCATGTGAGCCAGTTCAGAGTCTCAGTGTGATCACATGAAGAGAATACTGGGCTTGCCTTCATGGCTCCCACCCTCTATTCCAGCCCAGGTGTCAGGAAACCCGTAGTCCAGGCCATTCAGGACCCTGAGCTCACAGAGAAGCACTCACTGTCCCAGAAACAGAACTCGGAGCAGAGCGGAAAGCCCTTCCGCCAGGAGGCAAATGGGCAGGGAAGGGCCCTGAGAAAATCCCAGCCATTCCAAGCTCTAGATGACGGCTTTCTTCCCTAAGCACCTTCCTGTGCACAGCTCAGAGACCCAGAGGACCAAAGACAGGCCTGTTGTCCAAGCCACAGACTGCTCAATCAAAGCCACCACTGTTGCACTGGCAGAAAAAGAGGGTCTTCACTAAAGCAAGCCAGGGGAAACTACAAACGCCTTCAAACGCCTTTAAGCCCTTTCCCTTCAAATGTCCGTCTATGCCCTGATGACTTCTGAGGCCAACCCACTCAATAGCCCAGTCTGGTCCTGCTGGAAACTCCGTCCATTAATTATGTTTCAGGGAAACTAGGAGACAAGAGAAGCAAGACGAGTGACCAAAAGGAAATACTGAAAAACAACCGCTCTTTCTGGGGGTCCTTGACCCTCGTTCCAACACTAACAGTGATAATCACCACCTCGTGCCTCTGGAAACAGGGTCTTGCTATGTAGGCTGTGCTTTGGCCGTCTCTGAGTTTAGCTGTTCTTTCCTGCTGCGTTCCTGGCATAGTGTGCACAAGTGAAGCCCTGCAATTAAAAATTCATCTATTTTTGGTTCTCTGGGAGTGCTCCCAATGCGTGAGGATCCCAGATTGGATGTTATTGCTGGCACGGGGCAGCCACATCCTACGACGCAGTCCAGCGGTTCCACCCAAAGTAGGGGTCCTCATCACTGAAAGGCAAAGTCATTACTCATCCAATAGTCCTCTCCCCAGAACTAAGGCCCAAGCAGCTGCTGAGAGACAACCGAGCAGTGAGGCTGCCGCTGAGGGAAGGCCTGGGACTAGGATGACCTCGGGGACACGCGCCACGAAGTGGTAAGCCACGGAGCTCGTGCAGCTCTCCTGTCTCCTGGTCCTAGTTGTGGAGAACAGTTATGGAACTGGTGATGAGTATGGCAGGTAATCATCAAAATCGGAGTTTTTAAATTGACTATTCCAGTGTGACAGATGACAGATCAATGAAATGTACTATCTATAGAACCATTTATGATATGCAAGGGACCGAAGGAGTTTTGAGTTCCAGAAGGCAAACAGCTTTGCACTTTTCTCCATTTTCAAAAGTCATCAGAACCCTTTTGGCCACAAACTTTAAGAATCATTCCTTGTGCAGGGAAACTGAGTCACGGGGATTTGGATTTTGTTTATCAACACAGAAATGTGCATCAACATCAAGAAAGAGATGTACGTGACCGGTCAATAAAGTACACGTTAATAAGTCAATGGAGAAGAACAAGACCTCCCAATATCTGTACCCTCCATGTACCTGTTCAAAAACATCCATGTGAAAAGACCCAGAGCCAAACTCTGCCCTCAGGTGGGTCTGCATCATTCCTGGACACATCTGCCACAGAGCTCCATTAGGGAGAGAAGAAAGAACTACTTATTTCCCAGGAGTGCTGAGTCGGTCCTTTCTAATTTGCAGACCGTACCTGGAGAAGCTGCCCAGGGAGGCGTCCGAGGCAAGCTTGGGCCTGAGCAATGACTTACAGCCACGGCCAGGAACCAGCATGCTTGTTTCCCAACTTCTGAAGGTGTGACTGGGGTGGGAGTGCGGCTGCAATCGTTAGGCAGCCCGTCTGTTTCTGGCTATCCTTTTTTTTCCCCCTTCCAATAAAGGCAGACAGAGCTCTCTGAGCCAAGTCTGGTCTTGACTCAAGGGAGCTCCAGACCTTTTCAGTGAAAGCTCTGCACAAACGTGCTGAGGCAGATTCTGTGAACACTTGTACCATCAAACCATTGCTCTCTCAGCTACGTATGGACAGTCCTCAGGAAATCAGGGCAGCTGACTGCTCTGAGACTCTGACCAGCAAAAAGACCGGGCTTGACCTGAGAGAGGAATGCTAATGGTGGATACTAAGTGGCCAGCCAGGAGCATGAACTGTCACATGGAACCAAATGGCAAGGCTCCTGGGGTCGGGCAGGGTTTATACTACTACGCTTTCTTTTTGCAACAGTCTGGTTGCCCAGGACAGGGCCAGGCACTGAGACTCATAAGATCGCTTCTACCACACATGCCTCCTGGCCTCCAGAAAGGACATTCAAGTGCCCTGCAGCCTTGCTGCCGTAAAACACCTATTACCTTTGCCAACCCCCGCTCCCCTTCCCCTGCCACACACATACACACCCCTCTTCTGTTCTACCCGCCACATTTCAGGTGCTGACGTGTGGGTCATCATGAAATCACTGCCCACAACAGTTCACTCTTGCTGGATGCTTTCTTATCAACTTGGGCTCTCAGCATAAAGCCCTAAGAATGATGGCTGCTAGAATTACACAGCATCTTCCCGCCTGATAAATCACAAGCATAAAGCACGCAATAACTCGTAGTCTACCCTCAGTGTTGAGACAACACTGCTTTTTGCAGAGACCAGCTAACGAAACAAGCACAGCAGTCATGAGGTTCCTGTCTGAGATTCCCAGATTTAACGGAAAACCTGTCTCTCAACTCACTCCACTGTGTTTCTCTCTGTGTACCCTCTCCCACACTGTCCACCTGGGGAAACTCTACTTAGCCTCCGAGTCTCAGGTCCACGCCTGCTGTGCCTACTGTAGCCCCCTGACATTCTAGTGCAGCTATCAGCATAGGCAACTCTCCCCTTTGGAACTGTAAGTTCCTCCAAGGCAGGCACTGTGTCATGTTTATTTTTGTCTCCTTAGGGCCTTGCGCAGTATCCGACATAAAAAGGGGTCTAGTTAACTGTTAACAAGTGAGTCAGTGAATCAAGCCCCCCACAAAAAGGTAAAGAATTCTGTCCCATCTAGAGAACCTCCCTCTTCCGCCCTCGGGGCGTCACATACCTTGTGGAGCTTGTCAGCATTGTCATAGTAACCCTGAAGTTCCTGGTGAAGCACCCGGTTCTCCTCTGTGAGTATCTCCACCATCTGCTGGGCTCGCTCCACAATTGCAAACGCATCTGGACCAAGCTGCTGGCTGGGGGAGGCGGCAGGCAGGGGCTGTGGAGCTGCCAGGGTCACTGGGAGGGAAAGCGGCAAGGAGGTGGGGTGCAGGGGCCCACTGACTGAGGAGTTTTGGGAGGACATCGGGCTGTGCTGCTGCACCGTTGATGGGAAAGGCAGTTGGCATGGGCGGCTGCAAGGAAACAGAAGACCAGTAATCAGACCCCAGGGAAATGGTGGAGGTGGAAGGAAGCCCCAAGGATATATGCACTCCCGATGGCTTCCACTAGCCCATCAATGCACTTTCCCAAGCTGGGCTGAGTACGGCAGGCTCAATCCCTTAGTCCCCAGATATTTACTGTCTTCCTCTGAATCAGGACCGTTCTGGTCACTGGAATGCAGTGAACAAGACAGACCAGGGCCTCTGCCCTCATAAAGCTTACATTCTCAGGGAGAGAGACAGGCAAGCCATCACACAAGAAACAAACAAAGCCAGGTATGGAAAAGCAATGAGTACTCTCCAAAGAATAAAGCAGAGTGATGTGACAGTGAATGATGGAGTGACAGGTTCATGCTGAGAGGTCAAGGTAAGCATCTCTGAGAAGCAGAGGTTTGTGTGGAAGTCTGAATGACAAACAAGAAGGAACCAGTGGTTGCGGGGAGGGAGTGGAGAAGTGGGGGGAAAAAAAAGTATTCCAGGCAGGGGAATCGGGGTTTAGCATGAGCAAGGTCAAGTAGAAGCAAGCACACTGATACGAAGCATAGCCAGCAAAAGCAGTCAAAACTTGGGGAGGCCAGGTGGCTCAGTTGGTGAGAGCGCGTGCTCTTAATGTCAAGGTTGCCAGTTCGACTCCCGCAAGGAATGGTGGACTGCGCGCCCCTGCAACTAGATTGAAAGAGGCGACTGGATTTGGAGCTGAGCTTGCGCCCTCCACAACTAAGATTGAAGGACAACAACTTGACTTGGAGCTGATGGGTCCTGGAAAACACACACTGTTCCCCAATAAAGATTTTTTTTTTAAAAAAAGCAGTCAAAGCTAGATCAGAGGAATGGCCCAGGGCTTTGTAAGCCAAGGCCAGCCCTTCCCTCAGGGAGTAAACCGAGGCCAGTGGAGAAGCTGCCTTTACTCTGACTGATGTACAGATGGTATATATAGTGGCAAGAATGGACAAAAAGTGACCAGTGAGGAGGCCTGGGTGTCGTCTAGGTGGGAACTGAGGAAGGCTCACAGGGAAGTAGCAGAAGAGAAAGAACAGATGGATTGGGCATATGTTTTTGCATACATCATGGATGGGGAAAGAGAAGGTGAGAAAAATTTAGAAATTACTCTTAGATTCAGGGCTCTACACAAATAAACAGGGGTACCATTTAATAAAATGGGAAAAATCTTGGGGAAGGAACTAAATTTTGGGTGTTGATTTGCTGGGGTGAAGAGGTCTGGGAATCACAAGTCTGATTTTTGCCACGTTAAAAACAACACGTACAGGTGTCCCTTGATGGTTTCAATTCCAGGTAGTAGCTCCTCCATTTAAATTAGGAATTTCCATCTCTTGTCTCCACTCCCTAACAAGTCCCTCCTCACTATTCTGTTAACCAGTTTTATAAGAACCAATGCATTTTCTTACAGCCTAAACCAAGGCCTCCGAACAATAATTTCTACAGGTAAAGATAGCAAACACAGTCTTGATATCTAGTTCTCCAACCACAGCTGTCTCTCTTCTACAGACTTAGGAAAACTAGTTTCCTTGTTAACCCCCTCAACCTTTAGGTCTCAATCTGGGAACTGGGGTGCTAATAATTATCAGCAACTCCCAAATCATCAACAATCTGCCTCAAAGGGCTATGTGCTCTGGAGATCCAGCTACTTCTAATCTATAAGTTACGTGTTACTCGTGGCCATCCATAGTCAAAGCTCTCAGCGCTATTCCCATTTTTCCCAGGAGGTTGCCTGGCCTTACATTTTTCCTTTTAAGGATCCTTGCTGGAATGTTTTTGGACCCTGTCAGCCTCCATCTCTCATTTTGTAAGCATTGCTTGTAGCCAGGATTCCTCTGAATGCCGACTCCTGGCAGCTAAATGTCAAACTCCAGAAGAAATTTGACAAGGGTCCTCTTAGCCCCCTCTGCATGGATACACAGACATTCATAAAGATGATCTCAGAATAAACCCAGCAGCACCTAACACAGTAACTAACCACAGGCCCCGCTTTGGTAGCTAACTAACATCAGAGGCTCCACCTAAGCTTGGGAGATATTTCCCCACTAGATTCCCTCATGCCTTCAACCCAGAAGCCCCTGCCATCTCACGTGAAAATGACTGGATCTAAGTTCCCCGAGGCAAGGTGGAGAACCATGGAGCTCCATGTGACTCTCTTTCCTTAAGTGAGCTTCCCCTGAGCCATGCTCAGATTTCAGAGAGAAATGCCGTCAGTGGGGAGATGTGGGCCATCCCTCCCTCTCCCTCCCTTGCCACACCTATTACGTAACGACCTGGCCATCTCCTTAGAAATAAAACATTTCTGTACTTGGATGAATTTGGATCCCTTCAACACTGAAGTGTGTGTGAATACGCGTCGTCCTGCGTGTATGAGAGCCAACCCTGTCCCATGAGTGAAAAGCCCCGGAGTGCCATTTACAATGCCCAGCTTTCACCCAATTACAGGTACTCCTATTAGGCGTGGACCCAAAAGAACCCCAGATCTGTTCATGAGTGAGTGTATTCTTGCAGGCTGGCTAAATCCTACAGTGTATTTTTCATGGAAAGAGGTTACCTTGGCAAGAGACAAAATACCACAAATTACACTGCCTCAATTCAAAGGTAGACACCCATTCCTACCTCCTAAGTACTCCCTTCAGACTTCATCCAATGCAAGGAATATTGGCAGTGGTCTCCCTGGAGCTGAGGGGCCCAGAGGAGCCAACAGTTCCCTTCTCCAAAGCATTAGGGCTTCGCTTTGACCCAGGCAGCTCTGGGCTGGGGCTTCTTTTAACATTTAGTGAACTCTGGGATCTGGAACTCACTATGGTCAATGATGGGCTTATCTTCTCAGTAATCTTTTTCTGTCATATAACAAAAAGGAAGTGCTTTGTTAATGCCAGCCTAAGTCATCCATGATGGTAACTAGTTACCTGAGTGGCACTGCAGGAAAAGGGTGTTTGCCAAGCTTACGGGACAAGAAAGAATAGGTCTTTTCAAAATGGGAAGTCTTCTTTTAAACAGAGAACACTGGCCGCACAAATAACTCGGTTATACAGTCAATAAACATATTACAATGGAGGAGGTGCAGGCAGGACCAACAAACCTCTTTTCCTGGGCCCCCCTACTCAGCCAGCTGGGGTTGGTGGGCTCAAAGATCTGTACAGCCAGGTTTGTGCTTCGTGGAAATGAGGGGGAAGAGTGTTGGGGACAACAGGGAAATTTCGCAAGCGGTCATACCAGCGCTATGCAACAACTTACCCTCAGCTTCCACAGAGAATGCTATTGACTAGCCACCATTAGGATAAATGCTTCATAGTGATGGAGACACACAGAGAAAAGGGAAAAAGGGGACGGGAACTATTGTTTCCTGAGAAACTACCTGCGGATAGCATTCTATACCATGATTGTCTATCTCCTGATAGACACGAGCCTATTTCCCGTGTTAGATTGTAAAATCAGAGAGCTACCTTGTTCCATATCACGTGTCTCGGTTTCCTGGGACTATATGCCACTTAGGTCACCGTTAAAGGACTTAGGAGTTAATATGTATAAAGCCTGGCACAACGTGAACATGGACGAATGTTAGCTATTAACACCATTACTGTAATTATTATCATTTGTATCCCACTGCCCCAACACAGAGCCTAGCACTGGGTGTGTGTGGCATTCATGGGAAGTTCAAAAAAATTTTTCTGTTATGGCTAACGTTTACTGAGCAGTTTTTACATGTCAGGAGCAATACAAACTGCTAATGCACCATCTCATTTTAACCTTTATAATTGCTGTACAAAATAGGTATCACTGTCAACCTCTTTAGTTAGATGAGAAAAAAAGGCAAGGGATGGTAAGTAACTTGCAAAACGTAACAGGGACAATAGGAACATAAAGGAGATGCAAGCCCAGGCTTTATCACTCCAGGGTCCATGCAGTTCACTATTTTCCTGTACTAGTGAAAGCGGGGAGGGAAGGCAGCCCCCTCTGGTCCTCTGATCCCGGGTTCCTGGGGCCCAGTCTGAGCCACCACCACATCCACGATTCACACCCTAACATGAGAGGATCAGAACTTTTTGTAGGCTCGAGCAGCCTTAGGGGGAGCAGGAAGGTTAGAAACCTGCCCGAGTTAGTCTCGTGGACTGTTACTTATTTTCAACATTATCTTCCACAGGTTAAGGTCTTGTCGACCGAAAGCATTTTTAACTAACATTTATTGAGGGTCTGCCAGGCACCACATTTCATCACTTTGCTTAATGCTCACAAAAAATGAGGCAGGTGTCACTGCCACGTCCTGCTCCTTTCTCAAGGGACCGAATGGCTTTGGAACACCGGAGAAAGTAACCTCCTTCCATCTGCCACCAAACTGACCGACCAGTTATTTCAATGCGTCAAAGCAGGACTGAAAAAGCCTTTTCTCCCCAAGTCCACAGGGATGTATTAAAAACAGGGATCAAAGCATTTAAAGAGCCACGTCTGAGAGATAAAACAGGGGTCATACAGGGAAGCCTTGTAGGCTGGCCCTCGATTGCCAGCGACTTGGACCATGGCCAATAGCCCAACCCCAGAATTTGCACCCATTTCTTTCCTCTGAACTTACAGCCTTGCCTGAATCACACTCCTGACCATCTACCACCACTGGCCTTATGTCATGTGTTTTGTTCTCCTGAATTTTTATTTAAATGTAATACTACTTAATTTTTCAAACATGTGTGTCTTTTCTCCTATTAGCATGCCTGTTTTCTGAGGGTAGAAAATTATGACTTATACTAAGTTGATACCAATTAAATTTTTGTTAATTGATTTGGCCCTCAAGCCCAAGAGCAAGTTAGGAGACCATATATGCTTGATGCACTTTCAAAGAATGGCTAAACCTTCAACATCGTATTATTAAGGAAGAGACCTCTGCTATTTAGATTTGTTCTGGATAATATAGGTAGAATCTCAAATCGTGACGTTGCCAATATAATAGCAAAGCTCTGTGCCACTGCCCTTCTTCTCAT